CAGAATTTTCATGAATAAGAATTATTTCACCTATAACAAACTATATCTATACCTTAAACTATTTCTTCTGTCTTTTCTGAAAGCAAAGAGCATATTTTGTTTGTTTTTCTCAAGATAACATTTCCACATTTTGCTAGAAATATTTAATTGCATTAGTCATGAGGTTTTCGGCAGCGACTATCTAATGAACAATGGCTGAAACAATAAAGACATTCAATTAACTGACATAACAGGAAGGGGACAAATGGTCCGGGGCTTGGTGTAGTCATTCGACAATCTCCTCCGGGACCCAGGCTCTTCTGCGATCCTCAGAAGTTTGTAGCAGCCATCGTCCAAATTGGCCCTTAATGACCTCCACCTTCTGGTATTCACACCCCTTCCCCCGACTTTTTACCAGGGTTGGCCTGCGTGGCCTCAGCCTTGGTAAAATTTGGGAGGGATGTAAATATGGCAGAAGGGGTGGCATCACCTCTGAGATTAAGTTATAAAAAGGCTACGGCTTCTTTCTTGGGTTCACACTATCTCTTATTCTCTCTTTCTCTCTCCCCCTTTCTTTGCCCCCCTTTCTCTCACTCTCTCCCCCTCTCTTTCTCACTCCCTTGCATCTCTTATTCTGGGAAAAGCAAGCTGTCATCTTGCGAGCAGCCCAATGGAGAGGCCCACGTGGTGAGGCACTGAAGCTTGCCACCGACAGCCAGGGAAGAACTGATGCCTACCGGCAACGACAGTGTGTTTGGAAGTGGGTTCTTCCACCCCAGTGACCCTTGAGTAATCAACCCTTGTTAGCAGCTTGATTACTAAGAAACCCTAAGCAGTCACTACTACCCAGCTAAGCCATTTCTGGGTTCCTAATCCCCAACTGTGTGATATAGTAAGTGTTTATTGTTTTAAGGCATTAGTGTTTAGGTAGTTTGCGGCACAGCAATAGAGAACTAGTACACTCAGTGTCTGCCATGTTCCCCTCAAGGTGACTGCCATAGCTCCCACACCATGTTCTCATGGGATGGCACCTCAGGCAGGAAGGAAGGGTGATGGGGCTAAAAGGGCTCACCTTATGTTCCTTTCTCCTTTTATCAAGGAGGAAAATATTCCTTAGAAGCCACCCAGCAGATTTCCCCTTACTTCCCATTCGCCAGAACTGGGTCTCTGAGAGCCTCTAGCTGCAAGGGAGGCTGGGAAATCAATAATATTTTGAAAACTGTGTGTGGTGCCAGGTGGGTACCGGAAACACTGGATGGGGGGGGACATTTGTAAAGTATATGATTATCTAACCACCTGAAACTAATACTAAATAATATTGAATGTAAACTAATGGAAAAAAAAGCTATCTGGGCCTTTTAGCTCTTTGTGGGGAAGTGGGCATGGAGCAAACAGGCTGGGAATGGCTGCTCTGTCGCAACAGCAGCATCTGCCAGCCCTTCCTGCAGTTTCGTTGTGTCCGGTTGTTTTCACCTGGGATGGTTGCCTCATTACTGTATTCACTGTAGATTGGAAGTTAGGCCTTGATTAAATTCAGATTAAACATTGGTAAGATTACTCACAAGTGATGCTGTGACCTTCATATTCTTACATCAAGAAGCAACCAGAATCTTTCCTACATAAACATTTTACAAGATTCAAGCAGAGGGTGGTGCATTTCCATGAAAGCTAACCTGGAATCCAGAGGAGCCATGTCCTAGGTGGCTTCACTGATACCTGTGGGAACTCTGTTTGTCATAAATTCATTTTGGGTTGTGTTATGGGAATTGCGTGTGATAAACAGTCTCAGTGACTTACATGTTATCTCCTCATGGGCTGATGAATCATATAAGCAGTGTTAACTTGATTTAAAATACCTGAGACGTTATGCACTGACTTTAAAAATTAAATGCAGAAATGTTGGAATGTGGCCCTTTTATGATGTTACCCACTTGAAGTTTGTAGGGCTTCAGGTATAACATCAGGAACAAGGGGAAATGAGACACCCCTTCTCAGTCCTTTAACATGCAGGCCCAGGACAGACAAGGCCCGTGGCCTGTGGTCAGCTGTGCAGGGTGCTCCGCCAAGGCTGGTGCTTCTCGTGCGCAATCATGAATCTCTAGTTTGCACCTGCCGTGGACTGTCCTCATCTCCACGGAACCGAAGACTATGTTTTCCCAATGAAGACCAGGGCCTCCTCTGACAGCCAGGTCTGAAGAGCAGGAAGGCCAGCAGTTGTATTAGGACAAAGCACCGTCCTTGAAAGGGTAGGGGCCCCCAGCCTTCTCGAGCCCCAGTAGCCCATGTAGAGCAAGGTGGGCCTGCTTCCTATTTCACTGGGCATTTCGAGATGACACAGAAGGGAAATACTTGTCCCAGGTTGTCTTTCTTCAACATGACCCTGTGCTGTCTCCAGCTGCCTACTGTTCTCTGCAGCCCCATTGGCAGGGGCCTCTGTCCCCCTCTCTGAAGTCACCTTTCCACCCCCCCAGCTCCAGTGTCTTGCTGTCATCTCAGACTCATCTTAAAGATAACTCATCCTCCACCCAGTTTCCCCAAGTCGGTAAAAGGCAGCCCCGCTCCTCCCATCCCCCAAGGCAAAGGCCTTGACTCATCCCGCCCAGCCAGCCAGTCCCCTTGTCCTGCGAGTCTCTGCAGCTGTGGCTTCATTAACTTGTCTTCCTTCAACCCCCACCCTGGCCCGGCCGCCCGCATCCCTAGGAGGGGGCAGCACTGCCCTCCTCCCTCTCCCTCCAGCCCTGGCTCCTTGCCCTTGAAGAACTCCCGCCCAAGCGCCCTTCCAGCTCCTCCTGAACGTCGGCAATGGCACCTTTCCGTTCCACCCCACCTCCCTGGCCCATCTGTTCCGGAAGCCTTGACCCTTCTACCCTTTGATAATGGTAGACATACCACATGCTGGGCATTTTACAGCCATATCTTTAACCTTTAAAATACTGTGCAGCATAGGTGTTATTGTCCCCTTTACAGATGAGGAAAACTGAGGCCTGGAGAGGTTATACAGGTCAGGCTGCCTATAAACAGCAGAGCTGGGATTCAGCTCTTGTCTGCCTGATCTGAAGCCCTTCATCCTGTGTGACTGCCCCCCACGCCGCCCATTCCCTCCTCTCAGTGGAGCCTGCCACAATGCCCTCCCGCCTCCCCACAGCTTCTTCAAATCCCGCAACCCACAGCTCTGCCACATAGCTTCTCTGAGGGTTCCAGCCCATGCTGCTCTCCCCCGTCTCTCAACTTTTCTGGCAGGAATCTCAGCCTGCACAATTCGGCACTTAATTATAGACTGCCTGTCTGGCTATGTCACATTTGCCTGTTTTGTTCCCAGGAAGCCTGGAAGTGTCTGAGTTCAGAGATGGGACTTCCACTCATTCCTGTCCACAAGGGCCCGGCACAGAGCTGGAGTGCAAATACTCAGTGGAGCGGACCTGTTTTCCAGGAAGGAGGCTGGGTCAGGATGCTCCAGTAGCTGAATGGACTGCACCCTGGCACACCCACCTTCACCCTAGGTGTAAGCCTCAAATCTCTGTGGATACACACACACATTTAATCAAAAGGTCTCTTTCCAGAGGGAGGCAATTCTGTACCTGGAACGACCTACCCAAGAGAGAGAATGCCCTCCACCTGCATACTGGGCACTGCCCTCCCCGGAAACCCAGCATGGGCCAGTGGGGCCGGCGGAGTTGGTGGGGGCTCCCTGGGAAAGGTAAAACTTTGATATCACATCCCAACAGAGTATGGGGCTGGACTAGCCACTGGGTAGGGTGCTTAGTGTCTCACTTCTAATTCTGATCCTGCCTCTGGATGGTCTGGGGGATCGACAGGGAGCATTTGCTGTGACATTTTGAGGTTGTGAGGAAGACTCCCCACTCCAGAGCTACGCTGCACAGCTCCAGAGGGGGCGTGGACGGTGGCCCCTCGTGCTACGCTGGTCCCCCATACCCCACCTCCCTGCCCTCTGGGCTTCAAAACATCTCTCCCCTGATCCCGATGCCCCCATATGTGTGTTCTCGAGCTATTCATTCTTGGGGTTAAATGGTACCATCTTAAAATTCTTGTTCCAAAGTGGGAAGAAGAGAGGATAATATGAAGCCCTATACACTTCAAATGATCTAGATATCATATTGATTTTGTTCCTGGACACTGAGGAGAGAGCATGAAGGTTTGGGGTTTGGGGGGAGGGTGCTGGCCAAGGGGCAATGGGTCAGTGAAGGGCAGGAGAGAAAAGAAGATGGTGAGGATGGAGAGGCGGTACTGGCTGGGGCTCTGGAAGCCCCATTTGTCTTCCTGTACCGTTTTGTCGGTGGCCAGTTCAAACATGTGAACAAAAAAGTGCATAAGCAAAGGGGAGCTTATCTAAGAAGAATGAATAAAAACAAGCGTGCAACACACTACAGACACCACCACATGGAGCCTGAAGATGGAGCCCAGGGAGGTTGTCACTGTAGGGGGCATGGATGGTAGGAGTGGATCCCCTTCAAAAACCAGAGCCAACCTGCCAGTCCTGCCCCTGTGGGGAGGGGACACCATCCCCCTGGAGGGAGGCCAGCAGTGAGCCCCTTACTGCCACAGGGCCTCAGTGGGGGAGGCGTCCTCTGATAAGCATCTGAGGAAGTTTTGCAACACAAGTGTGAAGCCTTCTGGGCCAAGAGCTGAGCAGGTCCCGCCTCTTTGGGCCTGGCCCTGTGTGGCAGCTCGAATGTCCCTAGGTGTGTCTGGCATGGGCAGAGGGCTGAGGACTCCGCCAGAGATGAATCTAGACATGAGATGAAGTCACGGGGGCCCTCAGGACCAGACCCTGCTCGCACACCCAGGGGCTTCCTCACCTTGTCCTGGTGGATCTCAGCAGGCCCAGGCACGCTGCCTGAGCCACCCGTGGGTGCCCCAGCCAACTGGGGAGAGCTGGCCACATTCCGGGCCCGGGCTGGCAGGGAAGCTCGGCAGCCAGTTCCAACAGGAGGGCGGCCCCAGCTTGGGCAGGCCAGCGCTGAGGGAGGACTTCTCAACACAGGAAGCCCCAGGCCGAGGACATGGAAGAACAGGTGTTCAAGGGGGACCCGGACACCCCTCATTCCATCTCCTTCTCAGGCAGCGGCTTCCTCTCCTTCTACCAGGCTGGGGCTGTGGACGCCCTGCGGGACCTGGCCCCCCGCATGCTGGAAACCACCCATCGCTTCGCCGGGACGTCGGCAGGCGCGGTGATTGCAGCCTTGGTCATCTGTGGGATTGAGATGGGTAAGTCCTTTGTTCTGGGTTCCCTGGGGAGCCTCTGGGGGGATTCTCCACAGTGGAGCCTCGGGACTGCTCAGGAATGCTTTTGGGAGCAAAGCCAGGACTTCTGGGAGACAGGAGAGGATGAAGTTGGTCAAGTGGGATGGTGGGCAGCTATGACTTTTAAGGCTGTGGCCTGCCAGGTACCAGTCACTGGCTGACTCACCAGCTGAGCTTAGACCCATTTCTCTCTCTCTCTCTCTCTCTCTCTCTCTCTCTCTCTCTCTCAATGCTCTTACCTGTGCTGCCCTGCCTCCCTCAGTTTGAGGAAGGATCTCCCACAAACATCCCAGTCTCAGAAGTTACACTATGGCACAATCAGACGCGGGGGTGATGTGTTCTCCTGCTGGCCTTGTAAAATGCAGTTAACCTTGGGAAGGGCTACACTCCCTGTCTGGATCCCTTTGGTGGGGATGGATTTGTCAGACTTGCTTCTAGGTGGCTGGAAAGGTGGAAGCTGGGGACTGGGGGTGGATGCAGGGCCAGGGTGGGAAAGAACTGAGAAGGAACGTGGGAGCTTGCACTTTACCTTCTGCCCTGCTAGTGCAGCAGCCGCAGAGAAGGCTGGGGCCACACCGTTGACCCAGAGGCCAGAGCGCCATCCCATGCAGGGGGGCAGACACATTCCTAGCAGCCCCAGACAGCAGGCCTGGATCTGGCACTAGAGAGGACCAACATCCATCCATATGGGCCACCTTGGGCACATTTATTCATTTACTGTGCTGCTGTTCTGCGCCCAGCCTCTGTTCCAGGCACAGGGGACTCTGTCCTCGTGGAGTAGGAATTCTGGGGAGAGAAGACTCATAATAAACAATCAAACAAGTAACCTTATGATGTCACATCAGGAAGTGCAATACCTATGAATAAAATTACCCCAGGAAAAGGTCAGAGAATAGAGTGGGAACTAGTTTAGAAAGGGAGGTCAGGGAAGGCCTCTTGAAGGAGGTGACACTGAAGCAAAGACCTGAGTTAAGTGAGAGAAGAAGCCATTGGAAGATCAGGAAGGAAAGAATATTCTAGGATTCTAGGTGAAGAAGCAGCCAGGGAGCCGGTGGGGCTGGGGAGCGGTGGGTGAGGACGTGGGCGGTGGGGACAGGGCTGGAGAGCCCGGCAAGGGCCGGACCACGTGGGGCCTGCAGCCAGAGCAGCAAGCTCTGATTCCTCTGTGGGAGGTGGGAGCACAGACAGGCTGCGAGGGAGGCGGCGTGGGGGCGGCTAAGGGCACACACTCCACGTGGGGTAGATCCTAGCCCTGCCATTTCACAATGTGCCTTTGGAGCGAATTACTGAACACTCCGTGCCTCCATTTCTGCATCTATGAAGTGATGATTCTACTCTATAGGATACCTAATTCCCAGGGTAGAAACAAGGAAGCTACTGTAGCTCTAGGCCAGGGATGAGCACGGCAGGTGGAGGGCGGCGAGGGTGGTGAGAGGCAATTAGGTGATTAGATTCAGGAGGTACTTTGAAGGTAGAGCCAGCGAGACTTGCCGAAGGAATGGAGCCCCCACCTTCTGTCCTGGAATCACAGAAATCCTGCCCTTGGACACATTCCGTCCCCGGGATTCTCTCCCTTTCCGGGTGTCGGTGTTGCTCGTCTGCTCCTTGGCCCCCACCCTCCTCATGTCATTATTTCAACTTCTTAAAATAAACATCTGAAAGAATCAATGGTGCCCTCATCCTCTGGCATTCAAGGACTTTTCAGAATCAATTCAGCTATATCAATTCCATAAATACTGCCCATAAATACTTATATTTGTAAGTGTTTACAAATGTGTATGAATTCCATAAATACTTGGTCATGCTGTGACGAGCTGGGACAGTAGGGGAGAGGAACTAAAATCCACGAGAGAGACACTTGACGACAGGTGTGACCAAGAACTGGACCAGGTGCTGCCCATGATTAGGAGAGAAGTTCAGGGAACGATGAGAGGCAGGTGGGACTCATATCCTGTTTACAAGACGCACCCATGTCACTCCAGCCTTCTTCATTCAGTTTAACTGCCATGTGATTACTATTAGCTAGTGCTTCCTTTATGTCAGACACAGTTCTAAGTCTCTGGGATATTAACTCATTCAGTCCACACAACAGCCTCTGATGTGAAAACTATTATTATCTCCATTTTACATAAGAGGTAACTGAGTGACAGAAAGCTTTAATAACTTGCCTATGGCCATACAAACAGTAATTGGTGAAGCTGGGATTTGAAGCCAGTCTGGCCAGAGTCTCCACACTCACCCTTTAAACCACCCTGCTTCTTGACAAAGGGGTGCCAGAGATGTAGATGCTGGTTGTATAAATAGCAGGGACAGGGAAATCCCTCTTAGCGGGTGGAATTTGCACTCAGACCCAGGAAGGTAGTCTCCACTCAGAGGGACAAGTGACTTGTATAACGTCTATCATCAGTTAGGAGCTCAATCAACAAGAGCCAGGACTTGGTCTCCTGACTGTCTTCGCTGCTCTTTACCTCTTCCAGTTTATATTTCAATAAGACTATCTCATGGTTCATTTAGCCATTCTGTTGGCTGACACAGCCCTGTGTGTGTTGTTACAAACAGCACTGCAATGCGCATCTGTGTTTGTGCCTGCCGTGCCCACGTGGATTGTTTCCCTTGGGCATGCATCACGGTAGCGACACCGGACTTGGTTTAATTACCCTCCAAAGTGGCTGTACCTATTCAACCACTAATCTCCCCACAATGTCATCAGCCATTGGTACTGTCAGACAGCAAAGTTTTAATTCAGTTTAATGAATGTGAAATTATGTCTCACTTTATTTAATCTGCATATCCTGATTACTAGAGATGTTAAGCATCTCTGTGTATATACTGATCACTTGTGTTTCCTCTTCTGTAACTTGCTTGCTCATGACCTTTTCCTATTGTTTTCTACGGAATTAGCTTTTACTCTTTAATTTGTACATGTTCTTTCCGTTGCCTGTACGCTACTCATTCAGTCAGTTACAGACAGTGGAGCTGTCCCACTCTGTAGCCTGTTGTTATTTTGTTTATGACGTCTCTTGCCATTCAGAAAATTTTAATTTTAACGAGTCAAATGTATTAATCTTTTTCTCTTACAATTTGTGTTTCTTAATACCTTTACTCTGTTACCATGATGTCTTCTATATTTTCTGTCAAAGGTGCTAAAGTTTTGCTCTTTCATATTTAGGTCAATCCAGCTGGAATTTATTTTGTGGCTAGTTTGAGGTAGAAGTCCACATTTTCAATGATTTTCCCATGTGCTAACCTACCCAACTGTCCCCCACCATGGAGAGGCAGCCCTTTCCACACTTGTTTGACATGCTGCCTCTGGCACAGCCAAGTTCCTGGATTCTCAAGAGTCTGTCCCTGAAGTCTCTCTTCTCTTCCCCTGGCTCATTTGTCTACTTTCATGCCACATCACTCTGCCTCAATAACTAGAGCCTTATATAACAGCACATCATATATGGCAGCCCCTCTCCTCCTCCTTTTCCAATTTCATCTTTAAATACTGCCTTTATTATTCTTGACGCTTTTCTGTCCCATGTGAAAAGCTCTGTTGGGATTTTGATTGGAATGACATTTTTTCCATTGATAAGCATAATCTATCTCTCTATTTATTCTGGCCTTTTTGTCCTTTAATAAAGACTTTGTATGTCTTTTATTAGATATGCTAGTTTTTGTTGCTATGGAGAATGGGACCTTTTTTCTACAGCATTTTCTACTCTAATTGATTATTGCTGATACAAAGAGTGTTGACTCTTTTGCATATTAATTTTGTTTTGAGCAACCTGTTGAACTTCTCAACAGCTCTAACAGTTTGTTGGTAGGTTATATGATACTTTATGTGTAAACTATCACATTATTTGCATATGACTAGAGGTTTATCTTTTTTTAACAAAATTCTTCAACACACGGGTCCCAGAGCTTCTCTCCGCTTATCGCCAACTTGGGCTTCCCTGTCGTGAGGTTGTGCTTTGGTCCTGGGAAGGCTGAGGCAGCAGTGGGTTCATCTGGAGATGTGTGCCTGGCTCTGCGATAGGGCCGATTTGGGGGCGTGTGAAAAAGTGTGTAAAAACACCTACCACAGTGTCTATTTTTTATTGAGACGCAGTAAACATTCGTTCACGCATTCCTTCATTCCTTCACCCAAGGAGAGATGCTCTCCCTGACAACCTGTGGGGGCTTAAGGATTTCCAATTTGGTCAGGAGTGGGGGTGGGAACTTGCATAATTTTGAAAAATAAAAATTTTTCTTATCAAAAATAGGGATTTGGTGGATTTAAAACCCTATCCCACTTAAGCTACTACTTGGCACCTTCCCCTCAATAAAAACATGGCAAGCCCATCATTCATTTATTCATCCACCCATTCATTTAACAAGTGTTTAACATACTAGGCTCTGCAGAGGATACAGAGATATAATGCAAAATGCAACTCTGTCCTTGCTCTCAAGGAGCTTGCAGTCCACTCGAACTTGACAGCAGCCAGCCAGCAGGTGCGCATAATACAAGACAATTACGACTGAATGTTAGAAAATTAAAAGGCACTGGAGTGCAGAGGGAGGGACCGAGTGCCTCCAGTCGTGGAGGGCCTCGTGGAATTGGCATTTGAGCTGGTGCTTGAAAGGTAAGCACGTTTGACAGGCAGGGACAGGTTGGGCAGGGGCCTAGGCTTTTAGTGAGGATGGGGCATGACAACGAGCACAGTCAGGGGGGGACTGTGATGCCTCCAGAGGGCGGGGGAGAGTACCGGCCCCCTGGTGTCAGGGCTCCATGTGAAAAGTTTCGTGACAGAGTACCTAATATATTCTATGGCATAATTTTGATATTTTCTTCCAGTTGTTACAAAACTTCATTAAATCAATGGTCCTCAATCTTGTTGCACATTCAGATTACCTGGGGAGCTTTAAAATGTTTATGGCCCAGGCTTCTCTGAAAACAAATTCAATCCAGGTCTCTGGGGGCAGCGCCTGGGCACCCAGGG